GGTCAGGTCAGGTCATGTCAGGTCACCAAAAACAAAATATAGAAAAGGGCACGTGCGACACATGGTTTATGGGTCATTTTACTTATATAATTCAATAGGCGCTCTCAATTAGTGATATGGACCACCTCTGGATGAATTTCAGGTCGAGGTCAGGTCAAGGTCAGGTCAAGTGAGGTCAAATTTTGATGTTGGTTGTTAAGGCCTAAAAAGGTGTCTATCTGATGCAGTTTGTCACGGCGAATCGAATGGTGCTATTTTTGGTTCCGTACGAGGTCTAGAACTCCAAAAAAAAATCATTTTTCAAAATTTTTGTCTGTCGTAACGTCATAAAATTTTGAATAACTTCCACATTTTTGAACCGATTCTTCTAAAAATTGGTATGTAGGTGCACATAGACCACTTCTTTGACATATATTCCGTTTTTTATACACTCAAAATTTTGGATTTTATAAATATTTTCCCAAAAAAATCAGTTTTTTTGAAAAAATGTGGGCCAAAATCCAAAATTTTTAAAAACCGAGATAGCCATTTGATGGACAAAGTAGAATCACGTATAACCTTTTTGTTACGTCTTGATTCCTTTAAAAATGAAGATGTTAGCGGCGTTTGAAATTTTGCCATTTTTGAGGCGAAAATGCGAACATGACGTCACTAAAACGTCAATTTCTCAAAAAATTTCCGACGGATTTCGCTCAAGTTTTCAGGGAACGTGTCAAATTGATGTATGATAAGGTACTGAAAGTTTGACGTCGCTGGCGTAACGCGTTTAGAAGTTATTGGCGAAAAACGGGAGGGGGGACAGATTCTGCCCCCCCCCCCAGCGGGGCGCGGAGAACTATGCAAAGTTAGCCCTTTTACTGGCAAGGGCGATAATGTTCCCCTGAATGTCTTTTTTCGTCAGTGTAGGTACGGGCCCCTCAGACCTTCTGGGGTCAAACTCCGGCTTCTAACACGAATTATTGAAAAAAACACTTTTTATAACATTAGGTATACAATAACATTGAAAGCCTCGATATCTTGACATAGCCCTAAATGCGCCCATGCCATGGAGCATTTTGTGTGGGCGCAATTCGGAATGTGTCATATGGCAGGAAAATATTGATCCTAATGCTGCACAATAGGCATGTGCCATGTACAGTCTTTTTTTGTCTCTCCATACCCGGCACATATACCATAATACTACTAAAACCACTTTTTAGCCACCCTCCCTCACGAACAGCAGTACCTAACAGTTCAATGAGTAAGCAGGCTCAGGATAAGAAAACACTACATTACAAAACCACTCCAAGTACGCGGCTTACAGCCTTACGCTGGATGGGGTGCGGGTTAAATCAGTTCTCAGTATTAGGTAATATGCCGCTATGCTTACCGAAAAATGAATGAAAATTAGCAATCATTTTCGAGAGACACGAGACAAGTGGCCGCCATCAATTGTTTTTATTTGTAAAAGGGTTTCTCAGTCACCGATTACATTATTACGTGGGCATCAGCAGGCAACAGGCTCAGAACAGCTAGGTACGCATACCATCACTTCTCGCAATGTTACACACTCAAAGCAGGTGTTCAGGTTATACAGGCGATCAGAAACAAACGGTTCACACAAGGAGTTTTATGGACAAGGAACATCTCATCTCTACATTCATTGCGCGGCCCACCGAGGTTATACATACGCTACACGGTTTGGTCGATTAACCCGCGCCCTGCTGGGGGGGTGTTTGAACACCCCCCCCTTGTGGTTTTTCGCGAATATCTCAAAAACGGCGGCGCGGAGCGCCGCCGTTTTTGGTACACCTTATCATACATCAATTCTACACATGTTGTGAAAATTTCAGACCAAGGTCATTCAAGGTCAGGTCACCAGGTCACTTGAAGTGACCTCACCTCATAAAAAGTTTCAATGTCTGTCATAGCTACACCAAGTGACCGATCGCTTTGAAACTTTCAGCGATTGCTAAGAGCAATAGCATGTACAAAATGTATATCTCAGAATTTTGATATCGATGACCTAAGGTCAGGTCAATTTTGCGACCTCCCCATTATAAGTCAATGGGAGAAAATTGAAATGCGCCTCTTTTGGACGAAGGACATTATAAACACTCCCAAACACCGAATTACAAGTGGTTTAGACACACAGAACATGAAAATGGTGTCCGGGACCCTTGTTTATGCCCTGAGGTCATCTTAGGTCACGAATGTTATCTAACAGTTTTTCGCAAATAACTTTTGATAGAGGCGTGCTAGAGCGATGAAAACGCCTTAGATGTGTTCAGCTCGACGATACGGATTGACTGATATGCAACATGACCCTTTCCGGTCAGGTCATGACCTTGACCTGAGGTCAAATTTTCAAGTTGACCTTTCAAGGTCAAGTTATAGTTCATTCGATGCGTCTTGACGAGAGGAACACGATGCCGGTAAAAGTAAGCTCGTACAAGGCTTGGGTCAAAAGTTATTGCAGAAAAACTGTTTCCGAAAAAATCGGCTATTTTTGCAGTTTTTGCCCCCTGCAGGCAAAACCGTTGACGTTAGGTCAAATCTGAGAGAATTACTCAGAAAGGGCGTTAATAGGGCTATCGAATGCGCTTTTCCGCGGCGCTGTAGCTCTATTGGTTCCCGAGTTATGCGTTGGCTTCTTGGAAATTTTCGACATTCGACCTGGAAATCGGCGAAATTTTGCCTTCAATGACCTCTGGTGACCTGAACTTTGACCTGACCTAAAAATTGACCGAGTGATTTCGTCATTATTTTTGACGATCTTTCGAACGCCGCCTTCCGCGTATCGCTACGTGGCCCAGGAGCCGAGTTACAAGGGGGGGTGTTCAAACACCCCCCCCCAGCAGGGCGTGGAAATCCAGGACCCCCAGCCGGGCGCGGGTTAAATGATAACAATAACAGGTCAAATGTATATTTAAACATTCAAAGCTTTCGGTATGAAAATACCTTGATCACTGTGATAAACAGAAATGAGGACAGAAGGGTTCTATTGTTTCAGAAGGGTTCTAATGTAACTATTGTTACATTAATGGGAACAAAATGGTCCGGCTTGTCGCAGATGTCCAACCGCTACAACTCAAAAGAACTAACGATTTACATAGTTTGGGATTTGTGACGTAGTTTTGATTAGAGATGTCAATCGGATACCAACTTTTTGGTATACCGATACCAAACCGATACCAACTCGGTATTTGGTATTTCAATCCTAATGTGTTTGGTATTTTGTTGGTATCATGAACCCTCGCTAATGTTTAAGAGGCTAAGAAATCGGTAAAAAGTTGGTATTTTCCTCATGTTCCCAAGTTGGTTTGGTTTCGGCATTTTCCCGTGGTTTTGGTTGGTATTTGGTTTGGTATCGGTATTCCGATTTTCCGTAATTGACATCACTAGTTTTGATGTAGCAGGTACCGAAGCGATATTATGCGACCCAAGGTAATGCAAGCAAACAAAATATGACACTGCAAAACGGAGGAAAAACAACCGTACCGTAAATCTAGTCCATATTTTCTAAAATGATTTAAGAAGATATCATTGGTCTCGGCTTCCGTCCAACGAGTTTCATCGGTCATTTATAGTTTATCACTCTCACAATAATCGGTAACACCGCAGGTGCACGCTAAGGGTGCTGCACGAGACATCTCCCTAAGCGTATGGACCCCAAGCGAGACATGCACACAGGCGCAAACGCTGTCTCTGCATTCAGCGGTAAGACGACAGCTTGTGGTCAGCTGTCCGACTGCGAAATTTGGCCAGATAGGTTTGAGATTAGTTGGAGAGAAAATATGTCTTCCGCAATATGTACGTCCTGGGGGCTGGGTATGATATTTGCCGCACCGATTCTAATAAAATATTTTACGCAAGAATGTCGTATGACTGCCAGGTTGACAAAGTTATTTCAATAACGGTGACGGTTTCTGGCTCAACCTTACACCTCTTATTGAGACATATACACACAGACACGCACACAAACAGCGCACGGTCAGTGAAAGGTGACACGAACACAAACAGCGCACGGTCAGTGAAAGGTGACACGAACACATAGTCGGTGGGCACTTGTTAGGAAACATTGGACACCAAGCTATCGACATTTGACATCAACCTATCGACACATTCAGGATTCAGACTCACATGGTGTTGCCCCGTTTACACTAGTCGGGGGCGACTATAGGCAAAGGTATTAGTTATCAGACATTGCAGGCTCCACAACGCGCATGACTTACTTCAATTACATCAAAGAACAGTTTTCGAAACTAATAGCGGTACAAGTAATGGGACATTCGGGACACAGCGGGACTTCATCTAGACATTTAGTCTTTCGACATTTAATATCGATATTGCTTTTTCGAGTTATGCCAGGAGAATAAATTGTGCCGTGCCAATGCATGATAAAAGACATTTGTGCTCGATCATAACTCATTTTACCGTTTTAAAATTCGTGGAAATAGTGCTCACGTAACTGTCCTTGCAGCATATCAAGCTGCAAATATCTAGGCAATTCATTTCACTCACACACAATCACCCTTCACACCAATATATGTAAAGCTACAGGGAGCATATCACAGAAGGTTCGACACTCTTAAGTCGACAGTACACACATCTTCCATCCTCTTCTTGCACTACGGGGTGCCGAGCTTTTATTGTAGTGCTCGCTGAAAGGAATCAAGCACGCGCCAAAAGCCAGCTCGTAACACCAGTGGTGACATTAAATTGGAAACATCTACACCCATACGAGTGTGAAGTCGGTAGCACCACCGATTGGTGACATGTTACACAGGTAACACATAACCTAGCGGTATTTTATAGTGATGCTAACTGACACAATCCTTGGCTGATGGTAACATTAGGCAACAATGAGATCCATCTACTCTACAGACATATACCTAGAATGAGGAACACACCACTGAAAGGCAGGGAGGGCTGCAGCGCAGTGTCCAGGGTCAATAACAGTCGCATTTGAATCGTAACTAGGTTCAGTTTTAGCTCTGTAGAGTATAGGATCCCCTCATTATCAGCTTTGGCATACGTGTGGTGACGGCAAAATTGTAACCGTTGTTTTGTTTCCGGCGCACGTAAACTAACTAGCATTCGGTTACGTGTTTAAATGAACTGTTTACACGTAAAGAAGAACTAAAAAGAGAAAACATACTCAAAACTAAAAGGAAGTAAGAAATGATAAAAAAACTCATAGCACAAAGCAGCTCCGAAAATGACTGCTAATATCAATTACAACATTACACATTGATATTATTGCACGACGTAAGAGAGCTACTTAGCTTTGTAAAACATGTCACAATAAAACGATGGCATACGCAGTCAAGGAGCAACTAAGTTCAAATAAAAGTAACGACGCATCACGCAGACATAGTTGACGAGCTAGTTTTGCGTTTTCATCCATATGGCTCACGTAAGATTTTTCATCGTAAGTTATGTGTATCATTTGACTAGAATCAATTCCAAACTTTGACAGCAGCGGCGACTGTCAAACTATAGCTGTGAAAAGAACAGAGTGTTCTTCCTCAAATACCGACACGCAAATTCTCCAGTGTTATTAGTTCCCTTTCCGCAGAAATCGCAACACCCAACCCACCAAAACACACCTCTCTCTGCCCCATTAGCCGGCGTGGGATTCAGGCACTAGTCCCGCGCTACCTCACGGCTCACCACAACTCCCCACACCCATCCACTATTGCTACTCCTCTTCAATCTCCTCCGCTTCCCTCAGCTCCTCCTCCGCCACTCCTCGCTGCTCCAGTCGCTGTCACAGGATGCTGCAGAACTTGGACGTGCTGCCCTGCTGGCCTCCGGGCCTCTGCAGAAGCTGCATCAGGTCACGGAGGGCGTCAGCTGTGGGCCCACAGCCTGCGGTGGATCTCCGCAGTCGCAGTAGAGACTCGGGCACGGCCGAGGAGGGCCCCGCGCCGCCGGCCGGCTCCTCGGCGCGACGGGGCATTGTGAGAACCAGAGCGGTACTGGTGCGGTTCAGCTCCCGCTAGAAAGATATGGAATTAGAGATGGGTCAGTATTGTTAGGTACCAGGACCGTATTATGCAGTTCGGCTCATCCCAAAAAGAGTCTGTTTCGTTATTGGACGGGACGTCAGAGCTCTGTAAAGACGGTGAAAAACCGGAGGGGATAGCGGCAAGTAACTCCTCCCTGCTTTGAAAAGGCACGACAAATTTAACCAAGAAGCTGACATACAGCGCAATACGGGCCGCAGCGTTAATACTTTTATTAGTTTAAACAACTACACTGAGTGGCTGCAACGAGATGCGTGGTGTAGTTCAGTTTACCAATCCCTTTTGAGACGGTTTTTCATACACCATTCGCCAGCCTCAATAAACTGCCTCGCCGTACCTTTTTGGGCGTTGATACGGGCGGCGGCGGCGGCGCCACGCGGGACGAGCCGTTCTCCGGTGCTGGGGGCGCCGCCAGCTGCTCACGGGAGTCGGTCCGACGGGACACACCGGCGGGCATCTGTAGGGGGTGGAGGGAGAACGTCAATAGGAGACGGTCCATACGACACACACTTTTTCCAATTCTATTCCAAAGAAGTGCGCCAGTGCTGCCGGCATCTGGCACCATAATTGGACGACTAAATGAGTGGTATGTGTTTTGACGTATCACATCGATTACCTGGCATCGCTCACCTTACGTCAAGTCATAAAACTCTTAGAACAACATTGAAACCGTCTCTAACGATCATACTAAGTATCCTCAGAATATGACCACCTGCATAGACGACTACGATGCAAGAAAACCACGTAGCGACATGAGCAAGTAATTATCAGCCGGCCTCTCGGTAGCCCGAAACTGAACCTCACCTGACTGGGGTGAATGGTGCCTCCTTCGGGACACATTCGTACCTCCTCCTCCCCAATTTTCCTCCTGGGTTTCTCCCCATTCACCGGAGACACTGAAACACAAGTAAGAACAGCTGCCCTGACGAGCGTCAGAATCTGGCCGATTGGACAATGAAACGCAGATAAAATGTATGCGAGGATGCGTGAAAATATGTACAGCATGTGCATTGTGCAATGTGAATACAAGGCGTGAAGATAAAGCTAAGTCAAGCATACAAAGCATGGTGGTAGGGTAAGGTGCCTAATTAGCGACCCCCTTAATTTGAACCGTCATTGCTCACGCTCTGTGGGTGCCACTGTATTACTGGCTTGATTTTCGGAGAGGTCGTTCATTTTTCTTTTAAAATATAGTCATTTTCTGCCCCAATATTCACTAATTTATTTGTAGTGAGCATTTTAGCAAACCATTGCAAAAAAAACGCTAATAGGGAACTCTTCCCGATTAGCGACCGGGGAGGGTCGCTAATAAGTCCATGGGTTTCCCCATATTAAAAATGGCAAAAAATGCGACGCCTGAAAAGATGAAATATTATCCAAAAAAGGTAACCTATACGCAAAGCACTCAATCACTCGAACAGGAACGTTTATCCAACACATTTATGTAAGTAAAAACTGATCACGTGATACACTGAAGGCGAAAAGAAGGCGGAAACCCAGATTTTGCGGGCTCTCTCGTATGATATTCGAGGTCCGCGCTGAATTCGGCACCCCTGCAGTCGGTGACGACATTTGACATCCCCTGCCACACATTGCAAGCTTCAGCAACACCTCATTTTCATTTCTCTCTTTTCCCCTTTCTTTCCCTTCTTGAGCTATTTGCGACCATGTCAGGCGCAAATAGGAAATATGAGTTGCGACACATTTTTAACCGCCATGCTGTGCACAGTTAAGCGATTCACTATGGGAAAACGGCAATCAATTGAAAAAGGAATGTCGATTCAGAATAAAAAAGGTGCATCATCCTAATGTGCATCGCTTTTCATCATAGAGGGCCCAAACACACACGTTTTGGATAAGAAACTCGTCATTTTCATTTAAACTCACCTGAAACGTCCCACCAGAAACATCGACAACCGTAAAGTAATTAAATTTGATAACCAAAGTATGGCTAACCTTTTGACGATGTTTTTACCCTGTTTTCTCCCGCCAGTTTTTCTGTAGGGAGGTAGGTCGCAAATCGGAAAGGGTCGCTAATTAGGCACCTTACCCTACACGGATAAATAATATCATCGGCAGAACGGGAAAGTACAAGCGTTTATATACAGCATTGGGTGGGAAGAATATAATAAGCCTTTAGGTGCAAGACGATAACTGCAGACACATGAGCAAACAAATATGCATAATATTTGGCTTTTGCATTTAGCTAAGCAGTTGTAATCTGTTTATGCAATCCCATTGCTCGTGTATCTTTGATAAATTTCGCAACGTGCAAAAGCTTCGATATCCAAGAATAGTGCATACTAAATTCTAGTTGCTAGAAGTATGTTTACAAGCTCATTACGAGCTGACAGTCACTCTGGTTAACTCACGTGGCGCCATTTTGCTGAGCAGTCCGCCGTACTTTCTCTGCCAGGTGTAAGTGTCCAGGGAGATGCCCTTTTTGAGTGCGCGCCGGTGCGGCGGCGGCCGGCGGCTGGCGGCCGGGGAAGCGGTGGCCTCGGCGCCCCGTCGGCCCTCTGAGGTCAGCGATGGGGCAGGGGTTAGTACTGTAGAACAATGAAATAATCGGCTCAGTGCATAGGGAGAAATGGGTGAAACAGTCTCTGAAAGGACTAGCAAGAGAGATGGCAAAAATAAAACATAATTTGAAACATTTAATAAGGGCTTATTTAACCCGCGCCCTGCTGGGGGGGGGTGTTTGAACACCCCCCCCTTGTGGTTTTTCGCGAATATCTCAAAAACGGCGGCGCGGAGCGCCGCCGTTTTTGGTACACCTTATCATACATCAATTCTACACATGTTGTGAAAATTTCAGACCAAGGTCATTCAAGGTCAGGTCACCAGGTTACTTGAACTGACCTCACCTCATAAAAACTTTCAATGTCTGTCATAGCTACACCGAGTGACCGATCGCTTTGAAACTTTCAGCGATTGCTAAGAGCAATAGCATGTACAAAATGTATATCTCAGAATTTTGATATCGATGACCTAAGGTCAGGTCAATTTTGCGACCTCCCCATTATAAGTCAATGGGAGAAAATTGAAATGCGCCTCTTTTGGATGAAAGACATTATAAACACTCCCAAACACCGAATTACAAGTGGTTTAGACACACTGAGCTTGAAAATGGTGTCCGTGACCCTTGTTTATGCCCTGAGGTCATCTTAGGTCACGAATGGTATCTATCAGTTTTTCGCAAATAACTTTTGATAGAGGCATGCTAGAGCGATGAAAACGCCTTAGATGTGTTCAGCTCGACGATACGGATCGACTGATATGCAACATGACCCTTTCCGGTCAGGTCATGACCTTGACCTGAGGTCAAATTTTCAAGTTGACCTTTCAAGGTCAAGTTATAGTTCATTCGATGCGTCTTGACGAGAGGAACACGATGCCGGTAAAAGTAAGCTCGTACAAGGCTTGGGTCAAAAGTTATTGCAGAAAAACTGTTTTCGAAAAAATCGGCTATTTTTGCAGTTTTTGCCCCCTGCAGGCAAAACCGTTGACGTTAGGTCAAATCTGAGAGAATTACTCAGAAAGGGCGTTAATAGGGCTATCGAATGCGCTTTTCCGCGGCGCTGTAGCTCTATTGGTTCCCGAGTTATGCGTTGGCTTCTTGGAAATTTTCGACATTCGACCTGGAAATCGGCGAAATTTTGCCTTCAATGACCTCTGGTGACCTGACCTTTGACCTGACCAAAAAATTGACCGAAGTGATTTCGTCATTATTTTTGACGCTCTTTCGAACGCCGCCTTCCGCGTATCGCTACGTGGCCCAGCAGCCGAGTTACAAGGGGGGGTGTTCAAACACCCCCCCCCCAGCAGGGCGTGGAAATCCAGGACCCCCAGCAGGGCGCGGGTTAATAAGGCTCTATTCGGACGAATGCTAGCGAAACAGCATCTGTAGGATTAGTCCTGTTTGTAATACTGAATTGTTTAAGAAACACAAGTTTTTTTTATCCAAAGACTGTTTGGCAAATAACTGGGAAATTGCCAACGATAGGGAAGCTGAGCCGTTTGCACACTGGCATGTGATAGGCTGGACTGCCAGCTATATTCTCACCTGTGATTGGCTGAACCACGGCTCTTGGCCGGGCCCGCGGAGCCAGCGGAGGTACGTTGAGGAAACTCAGCAGGGCAAAGTACATGCTATTCTGCAGCCTGGAAACGAAATTAGAAAACGGTGGCCACCACTTTTCGTAAATATTTCACACGCTGAGTCAGAATCTTTGTTTCTCTGCATTTGGCACAACTTTTTTTAAACCAAATTCTTTCAAACCACATTCATCAAATTTATAGCATGGGAAACGATTTCTCTACGACACAAAACCACGAACTGTGCATAAATAAAGGCATATGACATAATTATTTTAAAAAAGTTGCTTCAAGTGATTTTAAATAAAACCACAAACCCTTAATTCAAATACTATCTGCGTGCAAGTTTATAGTGCCACATAACCAAAACTCTGACCCACGGACCTGGCGACAATTTTGCCGGCGTCTGCGGAGATACAGAGGCCCGCCACGGCCTTGTGGAGAGCAATGGACGTCACGCAGTAGCCAGAGACCGTCTTGTGGACGTACACCCAGCCCGTCACGGAACCTGCCCGAAAAAAAAACATACGCTATGACTAAGCTTGTTGGGAGATATACACTTAGGCCAAGTAAGCCACTGAGCCTGTCCGAAACACAAACCAGACACGGGAGAGAAAAAGGAAAATATCAATTAAGCCGGCATGGCGTCTAAATGCAGACGTTTACGCACACGATTGAAATAATTGTAAAGACTAAAGGTCAATTACCACTAGTCAATATGAATATACCGATCCCGAGGAATATAAGGCAGGAAATGACGCAAAGAACCTAGTGGTCGCCACGGTTGGCACACATACCTGATATAATCATCCCGGCGTCCGCCGTCATGCTGACTGCTGTCACTGGTGCCGTGTGGTCCCGAATCACCTGACGGGTCTGACCTGACGGTCACACGTCAGGCCACAGGTCAGGTCAGGTCGCAAGTAGGTCACAGGGCAAGGTTACAGCTTACAGGGTAAGATCACATAGTGAGGTCGCCGTTCAGGTCGAAGAAAAGCAGAACTGCCGGTCAAAGGTTAAGTCACAAATCAAATCACAGACCAAAGGCCAGGTCACAGATCAGGTCAGAGTGAAGTCACAGGTCAGAACACAGGTTAGGTGACTGAGTGAGGTCACAGGGTAGGGTCACAGGTCAGGTCACTGAAATTGTGCAAAATGTACCCAGAAATTGAGATAATATGCCAACTAAGCCCGATAACTTGACTAGGAAGTCCCCATTACCTTATTTTCAGCATGGCAAACACTATTGACTATCACCCCTGACGCGAATTAAAGTGGCCAGTTACCTGTGCCTACGTCCCAGGCCATGACTAGGCAGTCGTCTCCGCCTGACGCGGCCGTGTGACTAACATAGGCAGGGTAGGCAACGCAGGTCACCGCTGCCTCGTGGCCCACCAGCACCTGTGGCAGTCAGCCAGTCGGGGCATGACACAGTCAGTTTATAGTATTGACACTGACAAGTGCTACAATAAGGCAGCTGCACCGCACTGCATGCTACATAAGGCATGATGCATAACTGATTCACGTCGCGTATTCAGTTATAAACATGATAATTATTGGTTATACATATGATTCATAATTTACCATATTTATGGTCAGTAGTCTGAACGAAATTCGTAGACACATGTATCTTGATGTGTCATCCTAAATGGTGGCTCAACTCAGCTCCGTCTCGTTGCGATGAACAGTGCAACCAGACGAATTTATGACGTCATTTTGACACCACTCAGACTGACCTGGGTGAGCCGTCCCTCTGCGATGGTCCACACCTTCAGCGAGGCGTCATTGGAGCCCGTGATGACGTGTAGACTGTCACTGCTGACGTCAAAACAGCGTATGGCGTCATTGTGGCTAATGGTGTATTTGGTGTGCTCCTTGCTCAGCGTCCACACATAGAGCCTGGAAGTCAAATGTGAGAGAACGTTAGTTTCAAGATGGGTGGGCACTTGGAACACAGGTGCTTCTAACAAATTTTATTTTATTGCAAAGATGCAAGATGCAAGATGCAAATGTTGCTTTAGGACGGGCAGAGTTAACCTTTTGATTCGTATGATCGGGAGCAAAATACAAGCTGTGTTACTGTGACAAAAAAAAAATGTTCGCTTCACAACCTCTCATCGAACCATTCATATTTCATAACAGTGCCACTAAGCAGAAGATCTCTCAATTATCTACCTAACGTAGCCACGTACAGTTCTTTGAGAATACCTGAGGACCTCTCACCGTAAGAATAAAAACAGTGCGTTCATTATAATTGGAAATATGGGGACGATTTTCACTGTTATTATGTGGT